CTGGAGCTGGTGGTTCTGGAGGTGATTCTGTGTTCTTCAAGGTCTCTTCCAGCTTTATTGATTGTATAGGTGGGAGTAGGGGGAATTGCCCAGGGAGGTGGTGGAGTCACCATCCCTGGAGGTGTTTAAAGGTGTCTGGATCTGACACTGGAGGATATGACCTAGGGTTTAGGGGTTCCAGCAGTGACAGGTTAAGGGTTGGAGTGGGTGATCTTAGAGGTGATTCTGTAATCTCAAAGGTTTCTTCCGGCTTTGTTGATTATATAGGTGGGAAGAGGGATTTGTGCAGGGAGGTGGTGGAGTCACCATCCCTGGAGGTGTTTAGAGGCATCCAGAGCTGGCACTGGAATAAAGGGTTTAGGGGTTCCAGCAGTGACAGGTTTAGGGTTGGATTCGATGATGTTAGAGGTCTCTTCCAGCCTTATTGATTCAACCCTTATTCATTATCGATTCTATAGGTTGGAATTGGGAATTGCCCAGGGAGGTGGTGGAGTCACTGTCCCTGGAAGATTTTAAGAGATGTCTGGATCTGACACTAGAGGATATGGTTTAGGGGTTCCAGCAGTGACAGTTTTAGGGTTGGATTCGATGATGTTAGAGGTCTCTTCCAGCCTTGATTGTGTTCCAAGATGTGAAGGGGCATGGGGAGAGTGCCTGGGGCCGGGATGCCCTGCTGGGATGTGGGGGCACATCGAGCTGCCTCTTTCCCAAAATCACAGGATTCCCTGCTTGTGCTGCTAGTGTCACTTCCTTGTGGGAGGAATTTTTTCATGGAAAGAGTTGTTAAGCATTTGAACAGGCTGTCACAGGAGATGGTGGGGTCACCATCCCTGGAGGTGTTTAAGGACAGACTGGACATGGCACTTAGTGCCATGGTCAGGTTGACAAGTGATATTAGGTCACAGGTTGGACTCAATGATCTCAGAGGTCTTTTCCAGCCTGATTGAATCAGTGATTCTTTGCACATCCCTGTTTAAACTATGCAAATCAGAATAAAGGTGAAGCTGTGTGAGGTTTCTGTCAGGAATCAAGGTGAAAGCAGTTTGCAGGTTCTGCATTCATTCAGGTGTTCAAGGAATGACTGAACATGGCACTTAATGCCCTGGTGTAGTTGACAAAGTGATCTGTCACGAGTTGGACTCAATGATCTTGGAGATCTTTTCCAACCTGAAAGATTCAGTGATTCTGTGCTTTAAATCAAGAGTGTCCAGAGCATCTGTGATATTAGTAAAAGTTGCTGAGAAACAAATTAAAACAGGAATCAGGTGCTTACTGTGACTTAAAAAACTGGATCCCAGGCTAGTTCTAGCTAATTCAGGACAAACAGAAAAGGGATCAGGAATCAGGTGCTTATTTAAAAAATTAAATCCCAGGCTAGTTCTGGCTAATTCCAGACACACAGAGAAGGGTGTGAGGTAGTGTGCATTAAGCACAGTGTGAATGTGCTCTGTGTAAAAAACAGCAGGAAAATGTGTGGAAACATCCCAAGCACTAAAATTCCAGAGGTGGTCATTAATGTTTGAGCCTCATTCATGCAGACTCTGTTCCATTACAGCCTCTTCTTGAACACTGTTATCTCAAGCACATGTTATTTGTTGGCCTTATCAGGGTGGGTTTGCATAGCCAGAGAATGCTCACTAAGTGCTTACTCATTGTGTAGGGAGCACTACCACTGGTAGTAACCCATTGGCTCTGCAGCTCAGCTGGTCAAGGCACCGTTGGAGTAAGAAGTCCTGGAGATCTAATTTAGATAAATCCATTCCTCTGTTTCAGGGTTCTCTTGCACTTCCCTGGTGGACAATGAAGGTTCTGTTGCTGAAGGATCCCAAAGACAAAGATGCAGGACCAGATCCATATATTAAAGTGAGTAAACTTTGGGGGGAAAAAAAAGTAAACAAATGGGTCAGTTCACTATTAAACAGTAGGATCAGATGGATTGAAGTGTTTCCATGTGCACGTCTGAAATTGTGATGTTTTCTGTAAAAAATCATCAAAATTGAGAAGTGCACATCTGAAACTGTGATGTTTTCTAAGGAAAATCATCAAAATTGTGTCTGAAATGACTATATTTTCTGAGAAAACCTGTCAAAATTAGAAGTGCATGTCTGAAATTATGATATTTCTGAGAAAAAGAACCAAGTTAGGAGTGCATGTCTGAAATTACTGTATTTTCTGAGGAAAGTAATCAAAATTAAGAGAGCATGTCTGAATTTAGGCTATTTCCTGAGGAAAATAATCAGATTAGGAGTGCGTGTCTGAAATGACTGTGTTTTCTGTGGAAGACAATTAAAATGAGGAGTGCATGTCTGAAATGGTGATGTTTTCTGAGAAAAAAATAGTGAAAATTAGGAGTGCATGTTTGAAATTATGCTAAGAAAATTTGCTTTTGCTGAAAAAGTGTAGTGTAGATATACAAGTATGTATATATTTGTACTGAATTCACTGTGACAGCTCTCAGCAAAGTGCTGATATTAAACCAGTTCCATTTTGATGCATTAATTAATTTGCTCATATAGATAGAATGAAGATTACAAAAATATTGGTGGTCTTACTGTGAGTGTAGTGTGAAGCAGAGGGGACCTGTTGCTGTGGTCATGGGAACAAGTCTCACTCCTAGGAGCAATTCTGCTGAAGGATTTATAAGAAGAATTATTTCCTTATTACAGAGAGAGAAGGAATATTTGGGTTGTCCTTTGTCACTTGGGGATTGCACAGGGATGTGCTGCTCTACCCTGAACCTCAGGAAGCCTCAGTTCCACAGCTCTTTGTCTAACACCATGTTGTAATACTAAGTAACTAACAAAACCAAACTAGGTGTCCAAGTGAAACGAAACAAAATGCCTTTTTATTTTGCTTTAAGAAAAAGAAATACTTGTGCTGACTTAGTTCTTTGTAAAAAGGCAAAACCTGCTGTCTGGAACCTATTTTAAGAGCTGCAAACCTTTTCTCCCAGGAATTAGGATTACACAGCTTTGAAGCCACACTGATCCCAGTTCTGTCCTTCGAGTTCCTCTCCCTTGAAAGCCTATTTGAAAAGGTGAGTGTTCAGCTATTGCAGTTGTCTTGTTTCCCCCAGAATTTAGGCCGTGGTTCCTGTGTGTTACCTTGGTTTAATCATGCTCTTTGTGGTGCCTCTTTTGTGTTACCACAAACACAGCTGTGCACAAGAGAACATTGTGGACAGCTCCAGGGATTTTGCCTGTGCTTGTTATAGAATTTGCTTGGTCAGACAGAGTTCACATTTAAGGTGATGGAACAGAGATAGCAACAGCTATTGGGGCATTTCAGGCTATTATTGAAGCTCTTCTGTTCTTCATGAGATTATAAAGCATTGATCAACCTATTTTTCAACTAATTCACTACTTATTTTCTTTACTTCTTAAATTTACTCTTTATAAATAGCTTTCTCACCCAGAGTGCCATGGAGGCCTAGTGTTTACCAGCCCAAGAGCAATAGAAGCCATCAAGATATGTTTGAAAGACAACACTAAAAAGGAAGGTAAGTGCATATGTATATTCCTGTTCGTGAAGTTTGTGTTTTACTGAACTTTATTTCACCCACCAGCAGCTGTTTGCAGCATGACCTTTCAGTAGAGCTGTATCTCATGGTTCTTGGGGCAGCATAAAGGCCTTGTGCCAGATTGAGCTTTTAAGGGTTAGGTTTTCCATGCTTAAAAATGAAAGGAAGGAGCTTTTGGTGTGTATTGCTAATTAGTGAGAGTTTTTCCAGTTGTGGTTATCTCTTGCCTAAGGAATATTTGGCTCCAGTGCCTGGTTTACTTGCTGCTCCACAAAGAGGAGAGGGTGTTATAAAAACTGGCCACAACTTCTGTGCCTATATGAGGTGTGACAGGAATACAAAATTTCTCAAGTGAATTAAGTGTTAGCTGCAAAAAAAGGTGAAGAAGTGGTGATAAATAAAGGCCACGCATGAGCTGTGAGTAAGAACCTGTAGAGTGCTAAATAGAAATTCCCATCATGGTGATCTACCAAACCCTTGTAAACTCTTCCAGATCCTTATGGTAGGTGATAACTTGCAGCATGGAGTTTCTGTGAACACTGAGGTAGTTTTGTTGCTTTATCTGCTCCCTGTCTGGGCTGTGGACACACTAATCAAGGTGCTGTGAGGGAGGTTACACTCTTGAGTGAGCAGATGCACTGAGAGCCTTAGCTGATCTGAGCATACTCAGCATCAGAGGACTCTGCGTTAGGATTTTGGGCCAAATGTAGTCACTTATCTAGAGTTCATCCCTAATCTGGATTAGGAACTGATCAAACACATACTTGAATCAATAAAATGAGTCTTCAGTTCCCGTTTGGTTTCTTTCCAAAGGCAATAAATCCTTACATTTTTCCTTCTTTAGAACTGATTTTTTTTTTACTGTCATAGTTTGTATTTCTCCTGTTTTCCCCTCAAGAAAGGACCTCAATGTCCTGTGCTGGTTCAAGCCAAGACAGTAGAAGACTTAGTGTATCTACCTTTGACCCATTAGGATTCCAGGCATAAGGATCAGGAACTTTATGAACCTGGAGCTGGAACCAGGAGCTGTAATTTATAACCTGCTCACTGCCTCAGGGAGGAAAACCATCTCCTAGGAATTTTATTTAGGTCTTGGGTACATTTTATTGCTGAGTTGATAACTTAATTTTGGTCTATATTTCAAATAGAATCAGTGTCTGTATTTTCCTGGCATTAGAGTTGCTTTATAGAGTTCTGCAGTGCATGGATGTAGTTATTTACCTTTTATTTGCTGTCATAGAATGTTATATTTGAGTTTAGCCTAAATATTCAATTTAAACCACCAGTTTTCTGTCTAAATATTCCTTTGCACATTGTGCCTTGAGGTTTTTTTCTACAAATTCTGGTAATTTTTTAATGCCAAAAGACAAATATAAATGAACATATAGATATAAATGGACTTTGCAAGTCTCATGTGATCTGGCACAGGCAAAGTGTGCCCTAAAATTGCTACTTAACAAAAGCAGCCAAGAACTGTTTACTCAAATTAAGCTTTTAAAAAACATATAGATTTCTATTTACACATAAAAAATACATTAAAAATCTATTTTGTACATCCAGATCTGCTGCAAGATGTAGTGGAGTTTTAGTCACTATTATTTTGCTGTAGTTGTAGATGAACCAGAACTCCAAACGCTCATTTAACATTCATATTTTGTTGCCATGTGCTTAACCTTCATGGAATGTTTTTCAGCCTGGTCCAAATCTCTGAAGCAGATGTGGAATATCAAACCAACATACGTGGTAGGAAAAGCTACAGCTGCTTTAGGTAAACTTTAAAACATGAAGTCTTAGATCAATCTGTCTTGAAAGTGCAATTTTTGGAGTATTAAGTGGCTATTCAAGGGTGCTCAGACAATAAATATGAATTTGGCAACTGGACAATTTTGAAGAGAGGTCATTGTATACACATTATGCCTGTTCATGCTTCAGGTAAGGATCTGTCTCTGGATTTGTGATTCCTTGTGATGGTTAATGCTTTAAAATTTGGTCAAAACAGAAAAAAACTACCTCTTTGTTCTCCATATCCTTGTGGTTTTGGAAAGAAAATTGGCTGAAAGGGATGAGGGACTGAGGTTGTATGAGGGATTTATGTGCTTGGATTGTGTCCCCTGTTGCAACCCATGTTTCTGTGACACTAAATCTGAATTGTTCTCAGTGTTTCTCTCTACTACTTTTGGTTGTAGCAGAAGAAATTGGCCTTACCCCACAAGGAGAGAAGTCTGGAAATGCTGAAAAATTAGCTGAATATATTTGCTCAAGTAAGTCAAATCTTCTAGTTCAATTAAGCTAATCTAGCTTCCATCACTTCAGAATGTCCCAGAGATAAAGTCAAGTACAGACTGAGGCAAGAAGTACCTACTGTAAGTATCTCCTACTCATAGGACCTGTGTGTTCTGCTCTGAAGGACCATAAAACAGACTTTGAAATACCTGTAACAAAATAATTAATGTATGTAAAATCTTAGATTCTGTAATTGACTTTGCACAAGGAAACATCTGGGGCTGATTATTTTGAGTGGATGGGTCAGAACAAGCTGTGAGCAAAGAGGTGATGTTTTTGCACAGATATGAGGGAGTTGATCAGCAAAGTCTGTGTGGAGCAGAGATTTGTAGGCAGAAGAGAAATGGGATTGGAGCTGGCAAGTGTAGTTTTTCATGGCAGAATCCTCTCTAAGTCACTGGCAAATGAAATATCTTAACTCTAGGGAATATTTAACGATGAAAGTGATACTTGCCAACACAAGATTAAATAGTAAATTCTGAAAATTAAAAGATATTTTCCACACAAAAAATGCCATCGGTGAAGAATAACCTATCTCTGCCCTTCAGCAGATACATGAGAGCCAAGAAAGGTTTCAGCTAATTATTTTTTTTTTTAGGACTAGAAAATCTACTCCTGGCAATGAATTAACCAGTTTGCAGTTAGTTTGTGAGTTTTTTGAGGAGGAAGACAAGGGAAATACCTGTGTGTTCTGCTGTAGGATGTGGAAAAAAGCAACCAAACAGCAAATTTCAGTCACTGGAGGCTGCTTGTTGCTGACACACGGAATCAGCCTCACAGATTTATTGCCATGTGCTGATTTATGTGCTCTCACCTGATGAAGTGGTTTGGAACAATCTCAGAAGTGCAGGTTAAATTATACTCTGTTCCCTATAGTCTATATACTCATTTTTGCTTGTGCATAACATAAGGAAATGAAAAGAATTGCTCTGAATCTTTTGTGTCATTAGAATTTATTGTCAGGATAGAATAAAATGTGAGGTAATGAGATTTCTCTGCTGTTCACCTGTTGTGCTTTGGTACAAAGGAACAAAGGAATTCTCTCCTTAAGTAACTAGTTTGATTTACTCTTTGCAAGACAAATACTTCTGTTCCTTCATTGGAGTCTAAGGTTTGTGTTGGCTACAGAAGTTAGGGAAACCAATGCTTGTTGTGGTCAGGGGTAAGGAATTGTTCTGTGCTTTGTCAGCCCCAATCCACAAGGGATTCATGTTTCTTTCCAGGTGTCACACTGACACTTCACTCACTGCCAAACCTATCTCAGCATATCTCTGGTTTCTAATAGACCTTCAATTTGCACTCAGGACAGTCAGGTCTATCTGTGGTGATTTTTCCATTGATTTTCACTCTGTTTCCCTTTATTTTGTACCCCTGAGGCATCTCTGGTGCTTCCATAAACCAGGAGTCTACTTCAGCACTTGGTTCTCTAGTAATTGTCTCTCAAATGTGCATTAACAAATCTGAATGAGTACTGAAACAATGTGTTGAGGAACTTGTTTGTTCTGAACGCTGAAGGCAAAGCTGTTTGCAGCTGTGCAGAATTTCACCTGGAAATTGCTTCTGAATTTGCCACTTATGGAAAAGTCAGGCTGCAAAGAAATTCTGCTTTTAAATCCCTAACTTGACAGGAACTACTGAAGATCCACTTCCAGCCCAGCAGTGGGACCAGGATCATTTTTCCCTGGGGAACTGAGAAAATAGAACTGCAGATAGACTGAAACTTTCCAGCAGAGTATTCTGCCCTGAATATTCTTTTCTAGAGAGAGAGAACTGTCCTGGATTGAGTGGGACTGAGACTTTAAAGACTGAGGCAGACTGGGAGGAGGAGCAGGAGGAGGAGATAAATTCCTTTGTAGAAGGGCCAAGGGGAATAGAAATGCAGTTTATCTGTGGTGAAATCTTTGTGGCCAATGTATTAGTGTTCTGCTTATGGAACATTTGTAATGTACATGCTGAGTGTCCTCTGACCTTGGGCTGCAGCTGCTCTGCAGATGTGCTGAGGTACCTTAGGGCTGTCTGTGGTGCAGCACGTGGCATTTACTGCAGTGCTCAGCACCTGATGCCTTCCAAGTGTATTAAATGTGTCATGTTTACTCTTTATTAAAGATATAAGTTAATTAAAGTTCTTGTCTGTGTGTTTACAGGAGAGAAACCTAATTCCTCAGCTCTTCTTTTTCCTTGTGGAGCCCTGAAAAGAGAAGTGCTTCCTACAGTGCTTAGAGAAAAAGGTTGGACTTCCCCTGGAGACTCAGTTTAATTAGCCAGTGATGAGGAAAGTTGTAGCTAAAGCTTGTGAACCACATTGGAATAAGGAAAAATGGAACTTGCTGTTAAGTTTGCTACAGGTTCAGGGGATGGGAGTAGACACTGGGAGGTTGGATGGTTGCCCACAGCTCTGGGACACACAAACCCTTCACAGTGTGTTGATGGCTCTTCTTAGCCTAGAACAGTGCACTGAAGTGCAGTGAGTGTATTGTGTTTTCCTGGAGTAACAGAACTGAATGAAACCCTAACTATGACTCTGTCCTGATTCCAGGAGTACCTCTGGAGAGCCTCACTGTGTATCAAACCACCCAACACCCTCAGCTGCAGGAAGCTTTGAGCAGTTACTTCTCACAGCAGGTACTGGACACTGATGGGGCTGGAGGTTTTGTGAGGCATGAGACAATACCTGCCAGGATCTTCCTTTTTGTTGGGAGTGTAGCTGAACTGTCACTACACACCTTTGCTGTGTATCACAAACCAGAACCCAGTAGTAACCTGCCCCACGTGGTTTGTGTCTCTTCCCTGATAGGAATGCATTAGTCATCTCATTTTAAGTGTTAGAATTCCCACTGAGATGCTCTGGATAAGTGTCTTGAGACATATTGGATGGAATCATTAGTGCTCTGCTCCCCTTAGAACCTTCTAGTAAATGTCACTAAGTATTAATTAGTATGGCAATATAAAAATATGTAAATAATAGTAGTAAAAGTAATGATTGCTTGGAATTTTTCAAGAATGGCTTTCTGATTTAGCTTCTTCCTTTGTAGGAGCTTCATCATAGAGTTATAGAGTCATAGAATCCCAGAATGGTTTGGGTTGGAAGGACCTTAAAGATCATCTAGTTCCAACTCCCCTGCTATGAGCAGGGACACCTCCCACCAGCCCAGGTTGCTCCAAGCCCCATCCAACACACTCCCAGGGATGGAGCAGCCACAGCTGCTCTGGGAAATCTATTCCAACCCCTCAGCACCTCCCAGGGGAGGATTCCTTCCCAACATCCCATCTATCCCTGCCCTCTGGCATTGGGAGCCATTCCCTGTGTCCTGTCCCTCCAGACCCTTGTCCCAAGTCCCTCTGCAGCTCTCCTGGAGCCCCCTTAGGCCCCGGGAAGGGTCTCTGAAACACCTTCGCATCCATCCAGAGACAGCTGAAGGGAAGTGTGACAATGCACACTGCAGGAAGGAGGAATAATCTGTGCTGTGGTTACTTTCACCCAGGGGATCCCTGCAAGCATCGTGTTCTTCAGTCCATCCGGTGTCAAATTTTGCCTCCAGCACATTCAGAAGCTTTCAGGGGATTTGATCAACCATATCAAGGTATATGCTCTTAAAAATGGTGAAACATTTTAGGGAGAAAGTCTGGGGTGGGCAAACGGGACAGGAAAGTTGTTACAACCACTGCAAACCTTCATTTTCTCTTTTGTTTGTGCTTATTTCTGTTTGGGCTGGAAGGACCTTAAGGACCATCTAGTTCCACCCCCTGCCATGGGCAGGGACACCTTCCACTAGCCCAGGGTGCTCCAAGCCCCATCCAACCTGGCCTTGGTTGGATTTAGCTGAGAGTCTGTTTTTAAACAGAGAAAAGGTAATTGTTTTCCCCTGGAATGTTTTTACCCAACCAACTTCCCCATCTCCACTGAGACAGGCTTTATTTTCTCCTAGTGATGAGGCATGAGGAGTTCTTGCTTGAACCAGGCTGGAGCTGATTAAAATTCCTCTCACTTGTGCTGTTCTGTGGGACTAAGAGCTTTAAATGTTTGTAATGAGGAGATAAATATTAATCTTTCCTAAGTCATTGCTAAGTAGTTCAATTGCTGGGTGGGTTCAGTGCTGCACATACATCCTCAGCCTGCAATGGTCAGTGCTGTCTGGGAGGCTCAGCCATGTGAGTTGGTGACTGGAAGGACATTGCTTAGGTCCATGGTGCTGTGCCTGAGCTTTATAGCTGTAACTATTGTCATTGCAGTTTGCTGCCATCGGTCCAACCACTGCAGAGGCCATGGAGGCCGGAGGAATCCCAGTGAGCTGCACTGCACCCAGCCCCACTGCCCAGGACCTTGCTGCTGGGATCCACAGGGCCCTTCACTCCCAGAACTGCTCTCTGCAGCCTGAGTGAGAGCCCAGTGTGTATCTGAAGGGAATATGGTGCTGTAGGAGGTGTGGCCAAGTTGCTGTTGTCCTGCACAGAAGTGTTCTTAAGGAACGTGCAACACTGTCCTGGTCAGGGAGTGGTGGGGGAAGGTTTCACCTAAATACCTAAGAAGTCTAGAATCTGTCCAGCATGTCTGAAAGCCTCCAGCTCCTCCCCTTCCCTCCTGTGTGCACTGTGACTGTGTTGTCCTTGAAAACCAGCTGTGAACATTTAACACACTGAAATGTTCCACATATCACCTCAGGTATCTCCTCACATACAGGTCAGGTTTTAATTTCTCTGTAGAATCAGTTTTGTGTGCACATCTTTTGTGGAAAAAAACCCACATATTATAATGGAGTGTTTTCTTTTGTAAATTTACTTGTTCTGCTCTTCATATCTTTGTATGAAAATGCTGATTGTAGACTCTCAGTGGACCAGAATTCCTGCCGTGAAGCTGCACCATGTGGGGCTGATTCAGGTCAGCTGTTCACCCTCAGTGCAGAGTCTTAGAGATGAGTTTTTGGTGTCTGTTCCTGTACAGAAGGAAGATTTATTAACAGGGACATAAACTGGCTTATCAGAGTTACTAATGGTGTTAAGAGTTGTCTGTTTTGGATGTGGTTTATGCCTTAATTGTTTATCTGTGAAAGGAAGAAATAATCCTGTTTAGCACTAACATTACCTTCAGCTACAGCCAAGGAATTCACAGAAGGTTTAAACCATAATATCCTCAATTATAATCCTCCTGAAAGTCATTTTTGTTAGCAGAATGCGTGGAGGACAGAGAAACTCTCACTGCTGTACAGTTCTGTTAGCTTAATTCTGAGGATGTGACCTGAATTTCCAGGCAGGTGACAATCTCCAGACCTGAACAGGAGCTAACCTGAGCCCAAGAGTGTTCCTGTCAACTCAGGTCATGTAAGACTGTGGGTGTGGGTTCACCAGTCACACTGGGCACAACGGGACAAGGGTTTGGCCTTACAAAGCAGTTCCATGTCTGGAGATGAAGGATGTGAATTGCTGGAAAATGGTTCTAACCCTGTGGAGCAGTTTGCTGCTCTGCTGAGGCTCAGCACCAAGGAGAACAAGGCAGAGCAATGGAGTTCATGTTTAATAAATAAAGTTTTATTGAAAAATATCCTCTCATTCACAGTTTCAAGTCTGAAAAAGATAATACTATTCTTGATCAATTCCAACACAGCTGAAACCATTCACTTGCCAAAAGGAGATCCCAGAGATGGCTGATGAGTTTGCAAGAGTCACATCAGAGCTAGAAAGGCACAGGTTTTTGTGCAGGATCCTCACTGGGATGAGTAGTGCATCAAATTCCATAGAAATCTGGTGCAGCTTGGGCTGACATTAGTTCACGTTCCAATGCAGCTCTGCTTACAAAATAGATTTCATTAAGGATCAAACCAGAGCAACTCTGAGGTTACATCTGTATGCAGAACATCGAGATCACTGCAAACCTGTTCTCTCTTAAGAGAAAAACCAGGAATTTCTCAGCAGTGAAAAAACATTTAGCTCCAGCCTCCCCTCCTCCCCCCCCAAGTTGGCATTTCAAACAGAGAAACACTGGGAACAGAAGATGCTTTCCAGGATAAAAAGGAATCCTTGTGCTTTCCCAGACGTAGGACACGACGCGGGCGACACCATCGCCCCCTCGGCAGACACCCCGTGGGAACATCCCCAGTGCTCCCACGGAGCAAAGGCACTGGTTCTGCTGCTCTGCAGCCCCTCCTCACTGCTCCACTCCCCTCCCGCCCTCGCTGCTGGGGCTCAGCTGCTCCAGGACGCTGAGGATCACCTCGGTGCGCTCCAGCAGGCTCAGGGCCCTGTTGGCCGTCGCCCGCAGCAGCAGGGAGTAAACTTGCTTGTTGGTTTTCACCACAGCTTCTTCTTCATTAATGCCCCTACACAGAAAGCAGATAACAAACTATTAACCTGGCCACAGAGCTTCAAATTAGCAAGGCTGTTATTAAACAGCTCTGATGAGTATCATCCCCGTGGAACCACATAGCTGGGGTTTGGATTGGAGCCTCCAGTTGCCTCAGCCCCACGTTCCCTCACAGCACTGCAGTCAGAGCCTCTGTTCATACTGCAGGAAGGAGCATAAAATGTAAATAAAGACTCTATAATAGAAATAAAATGTACAGGCAGCAGTCAGGCTAATTGCAAGTGCTTTGGGAAGGACCAAGGAATGCTGAGGCAAATGAAAATCCATCACACACTTGGCAGACATCACAGACAGGTCCATTTATTAGGCAGCACAGATAGTCAATAAAAAGCCACTGAAATGCAAAGTATTTCTCGGAGAAGTTACAAGAATTCCCCGAACAAAGTATTCCTTTCAATTACTCTTCCCTCTCCCATTGGCACAGCCAAGGTCTGTTCTGCTCCTGCAGTTCACTTTTAGAGGGTGAAACCAGGATTTCATCCAGTTTTACTGCCAGGCTGCAAGTTCCACCAGCAAACATTCATTTTCCTACACATTCTGTTCTCTGCCAGAGCGCAGCTGAGCCCCTGAAGCAGCATTTGTGAGCTCCAATTTCCTCCCTTTTCCCTATTGTTAAAGCAGAAGGCAAACATCACTCATCTTCTGCAGAGCAGTTGGAAGGGAACATACACAGATGTGCAGGAGGTACTGGAAAGGCCAAATGAAAGGTAGTTTTCAGCTTGGCCTCGAGGTTTCAAGGAGCTGAACATACTCTTACAGTGCCATTTCACAGCACTCACATTGCAACACGTTCCCTGTGTGGAATCTTCAGAATAACATCCCAAGACAATGACAATGTGAGGGGAAAACCTCACAAAAAAAACCCCTCACAAAACAGGAAAACAGTTTTGCTGAGAACTAAACAGAACTAAAGCAATTTACTCAGTTACTGTTTGGTAACACACAACTTAATCCAATCCTCTGCATTCCACATATTCAGATTGCCACCTTGTGGAGGCTTTTTTTAGGAGGTGAAACACCAAACACTGCCCAAACCACAGCTGAGAGCACACATGCACCAAGGTTCAACTTACCCAATCTTCTTTTTGTTTGAAGTTAACAACTTGATGGATTGGAGGAGAAGGAATGACATTCTGGACTCAAAGATACTGAGCAGCTTCAAGACTTCTTCTTTGTTAAGGCCCACAGAGGAATCATTAGGTGCCACACTCTCAGCAGGACCTTCATCCTTGCTCATCTACAAGGAAAGAAACATTTCACTGAGCTAAACACAGGTAATGAGTCAGACTATTCCACCTGCAAATGAGTTGAATCCTATAGGAGTGGTAAAATATGGAAAATAGGGGTTTGACTACTCCATGTGTTGCCCAAGGGACACACACATCAGCAAATAATTGTAGGTTTAGGCATCAGGAGCCTGTTCACAGGTAACCCTCCATGTGTTAGTACTTAGACATGAAATGTATGAGAGAGAACTCCCTTTTTTATTGTATAAATATTCTCAAGTTCTTAGAGAAGACCTGGAAGGGATAATAAAGGCCCTTTAAGGGATAACTGAGTTGCACAGAAGAAATCCATTCACAGAGTCACTCCTGATCTGAACACAAACATGTTTTAATCCAACAGATCTCTACACAAAGATGTTCTAATCCATCTCTGGATTATGTTCTAGAGGATTTTTTTACCCACTTCCTGGCTAGGACAGAACTGCAACAGATCAATAGATTCTACCTCTGTCCACACTAGTTAAGCAACTAGTGCTCTGGAAAAGTACCCAAGGAATATTTTAACTGTCAAGTGACCAGTTTTAGGTGAATGCAGGAGCCAGAAGGGAGCAGGTACCACACCATTTGACTTTCCTTTACCTGTTCACTCTCTGCCACAAGCTCCTTCCTGATGAGCTGGAATGCTCCCTTGGTTTTGGTCATTATGTCCAGAGCACCAAACAAAGTCTTCAATTTCCCAGCACTGCTGTTCTGACCTACAAAATAAGTAAAAATGAAGGACAAATGGTTTATTTGCAGGTTGTACTTATTCTTCCACCCAGAGATTTCAGGAGTTCAGGAGAACAGCACATAGTGTCCTAGTCCAGGCAAAACCAGCAAGATAAAAATGTCTCTCCTCTCTTGAGGAAAGTTCTATTCTGAGGAGCAATGACTCCTGCTCTCAAGCACAGTGGAGTTTGCTAAAAATGAACCTAAGTAGGTAGTGGTAGAGTTTGGAAAGCTGTTGTAGGAAGGCAGAGCTGCACTTACTAGGTTCAGGAGAACAGCACATAGTGTCCTAGTCCAGGCAAAACCAGCAAGATAAAAATGTCTCTCCTCTCTTGAGGAAAGTTCTATTCTGAGGAGCAATGACTCCTGCTCTCAAGCACAGTGGAGTTTGCTAAAAATGAACCTAAGTAGGTAGTGGTAGAGTTTGGAAAGCTGTTGTAGGAAGGCAGAGCTGCACTTACTAGTGGAATT